CCTCCTTCCCTCCCTCCCCGCCCCCATCAGACGGCGCGACCCCTTCCCTGAGCGCCACGCGGAGCGCCCGAGGGGAGGCCAGCGGGTGGGCATTCCCGTTCGGCGGAGAGCCACTCTGGGGCGGTGGTGGAGTGCGCAGACTCTCCCCACTCCTCCGCCACTCGCAGCAGCTGCTGGAGGGCCTTGGGCCGTTCTCTCTGAGCTCTCCCAGCCCCGCCCACCTCCCCGGGTGTCTGTCTGTTGCGGGGAGGGGGAGGGAAAGGAGTTTGTAAGCTGCTCTGAAACACCTTCTGGGAGACTCCCTCGGGTAGGGAAGGGTAGAGATCCCATCTCTTCTTCCCCCTCCCGCCCAAGAGTGGCAGAAGGGCCTCTCTCTGGCCGGACTTGGCCCGGGGGGCCAGCAGCCCTGGGGTCGGTCCCCAGCAGGCCCTTCTTCAGTCAGGGGCCTCCGGTCTTTGCTTCTCTTACTGTTCAAATCTGGAGAAGTGTTTTTAAGGACTGGGCTGCCTGTCCCTGGGAGGAGAGGGGAGCTCCCTTTCAGCTGGTAGCCCAGGGCAGGACCTGCAGCAATGGGTGTCAGTTGGGGGTGGGGGGTGGGTGGGAAGAGATCGATGGGATTATATCAGGGAAAACTTTTTCGCCGTAAGAAGGCCATTCGGTGTGGGTGGAGTTTTGTGAGCAACATTTCTACTTTGTGAGCTCCAGGCGTTAAAAGTTGTGAGCGAGCAGTTTGGCTGCTGCATCAGTTTGTTTGCTCTGGAGCCTCATCCACCCTGAGCTAAGGCAAAAATGTGTGAGCCAGAGGCTAAAAAACCTGAGCCAGCTCACACTAACTCAGCTTAGAGGGGACATCGGTGGTGGGTCCTCCCTTCTCGGATGTGTTAAAGCAGAGATTGGACAATTGTTTGTCAGGGACGCTGGAGGTCCTCAAAGGGCGGGGTGCTCTGGACAGTGGGTGGTCTTCAGGTCCGACGTTTTAATTCCCCCATTCTCTGTACGAGTTGCCCCTTTGGCTGCTTCAGAGAGATTCTGTTTTGCAGGGTTTTCACTTTTCTTTTCTTCTCAAATGCCATTCTCTTGCTTCTTCCAGAGTTTTACAAAGAGCTGAACTGGGTCCCAGAGAACCATCGCAGGAACACAGGTAAATGCCACGGCAGCCTGTGGGGGTGGGGAGGCAGGGGGAGAGAGGGCAGCTTGTGTCTAGGACCCGGCAGGATTCCCCGCTTTCCTCTCCTAGAATGGATTGAGTGAGACGCTGGGGAGAGGGTGGGGGTGGGCAGGGCCCGGGCGCCTGAAAGACAGAGCGGCACAGGGAAGTCTCTTGCTAAGGACAGCCTGTCACCTTTGCCTCCGTTGCTCTGCCCCCGGGAGTTGGGATACCCAGTGCCGGGTGGGTGGGTGTGCATTGACCAAAATGGAGTGAGGGGCAGACAGTGGGAGTGGGGGGGGGGAAATGGTGAGGCATCCCCCACAGCTAGGAGGATGGGGGAACTTGGGGAGTCTTCCTGCATGAGGTTTGCTTCCCCTTGGGAAATCGCGCACAGGCACACCGCCACGCCCCATGCAGCCTCAGTGGGCTTGGGCGTGGGGCACAGTAGATTCACCGTCCACAGATGAGGGCGCCTGCTGTTCTCTGCTAGGGGGTCAAAGCGCCACACATGGGGGTCTGTAATGTGTGAAGGGCAGCCCACCGCCGATTCAAATGTTCAGGTGGCCGTGGGTGACAACCCGGTGTCCAAGCTTGCCAGGGGCAGGTGGGCCATGGGAGGGAGAGCTTTTGTGGGCAGGTGGAAGGAGGTGGGGGTGGGGTCTCCCCTCCCCCGTAGGGCAGGAGTATGTCGGGTGCGCAGGGGGTCTGCGTCGCCCACCCTTGATTTTGGCCTCTCCTTGCTGTTTTGCAGCTAAGAAAGCCCCGGACGGCACAGTCATACCAAACGGTTATTGTGATTTCTGTCTAGGCGGCTCCAAGAAGACTGGCTGCCCCGAGGATCTCATCTCCTGTGCAGATTGTGGGCGCTCAGGTGAGGCTGGGGGCATGCACAAGGGCTCCCCCCCCACACACACACAGGAGGAGGGCTGGTGGGGTGGGAAGGAGGAGCAGAGGTGGGGGCAGGTTACTGGTGGGCCGGCGTATTCTCCTCCATGGTGCGTTGCTGGGGGCAGGGGAGCTGGACAGGTGGGTCAGGTCCAGCGTACGGGGCCCGTCCGCCAAGTGGATGCAGTAGGAGTAAGGGCAGAGTGTGTCTAAGCACGTGCAGAGCGCCACCTTTCCTTTGGCAACGCATGAGCACGAGTGTGCTGGGGGGGCTCAGCCCCCGCCTCCTGGTGCTCCCTGCCGGATTCTGTCTCCCAGGGCATCCATCCTGCCTGCAGTTCACCGTGAACAT